TGGCTGGTAAAACCACTGTTGATATTTTCATTCAGCATATCGTTTTCCATATGATCAAAGTTTCAAAAAGGTGAGTGCATGCATCTTCGGACGTCCATTTTTCTGAACGAAGGGAGCACCATAAGGTACCATTTCAGACATTCATACTCTTGTTTGCAGTAAGATGAATGTATTACAGCTAACTTGGGCAATTTACTGCATAAGCAAGTTTTAGGCTCTCAGACATCAGCTTGACATGGTCCCTCTTGCCTCCTCTTTTCCAGTTTAAATAATTGTTCTAGAGACAGAGAGAAGTACTGCAAATAAACAAGTTAATCTGAGGAAGGTTTCCTTGAGTAACATAGCTAGTTAATTACTCCTACAAGATGTTTGATCAGTTATGTGTTATCTTTCAGGCAATAAACAGTTATCCTCAGAAACAACTGCAAAGAGTATACTCCAAAATTCAGTAGATAGAGAACAAGTGGTTCAGAGAATACGCACATTCAGTAAATTCAGTAAAGATGAAGTAGAGAAGATTCAGTAAATTCAGTAAGTGGTTCATACCCAGGTTGTATGTGTTGGTGACAGAGATGACCCAGGCTGTAGGACTTGGAGATGCTGGAGAAACAAACAGCATGCTGTATTTTAGTTGAGGTTTATGATGAATTGTTCATCAACTAGGTTGGGGGGAACAAGCATAAATACACAGATGTTGGGGCATAATAACAGGGCAGTACAGATGTTTATGATCAATTGTTCAGAAAATTGCTGCCTCGAACCTTCTGAAAATGTGATATGTCATTATCAGTTAACTTTGCACACTGTGTGCGCAGATGCTCGATTTTAAGTTTGGTAATCGCCTCCTTTTGCTCATTTTCGAAACCCTTGCTCATTTCATAGATCACCTTCTGCACCTTCTCTTTGTCAACTCCCTCCATTCCTAATGCAACGTGATAAGAGAATAAATACCAGTGCTCAAACCATACCGGCGCAATCTTAAGCCAGGAAAGAGGGGAATGCAGCTTTGGCGTTGGTGTAGGCGGTGTGGTATGACTGCCACGGCCTATCCCCTCCTCCGTCCGATGGTGTCCCCGCCGCCGAAGACATCGCTGCGAGGTCTCGCCCGCAGCCGGCACGGAGCGAACAAGAGAAGGAAATGGAGAGGCGCGCTGGGCGCCGGCTGAGATACTCTCCGCCCGGGATTAGGGCGCTTTTAGGAGAGGAAGGACGGTGAGGGGACTATCCTCCGACGAGGCGAGGTCAAAGCTCCGTCGCCAGTGTTATGGCGCGTGCGAAATAAGAAAGGGAAGGCGGTGAGATTTTCTTGGCGACGTCAAGCCATGCCTGGCTCCACTGCCGGAGCCTCTCCTCCGGTTCGCCGTTGCAGTAGCGCCCGCACTCCAGGCCGAAGCCGCCCCGCCGCAGCGCCTGGGTCCGCCGCGCCCGACGCCTACAGCGCCAGCCGCGACGCCTCGTCGTCGGGCCCATCAGCGCGGCGGAAATCGAAGATTTTTATGAGGAAGGGGGGATCTTGGGGAAGCAGCGAGCGGCAGCTGCGGCGGCGGAGCAGGAGGCAGCTGCGGCGAGGGAGCGGGGGAGCAGGGCAGCTGCGGCGAGGGAGCCGCCGCGGCGGGGAGCAGGGCTGCTGCGGCGGGGGAGCGGGGAAGCGACGGCGGCGGGGAGCAGCGCAGCTGGGGATTCTGTCGGAGGAGGATGACGAGGAGTGCGGGTTTGGTCGGGAGAAATTGGAGGGTTTTTTTTTGAAAAATTGCCCTCGCGACATGTTTTTCTGGAGGGAGGGAGTACTAATTAAGCTTCGGTTTACGCCCTTTAAATACCTAGTCCTCCACGCCAATTCATTCATCCTCACCTTGACCTCGTCTACCAGCACCCAAAGTCTGAGGCGAAGGGAGGCATTGGCTTTGATACTAGCGTTCGCAAGAGATGGGATCGGAGGCGGATGCGGCGGAGATGACCGGGCCCCTCCTTGCCGGCGCGCCGTCGGCGGTGGAGGCGGTGCCGCCGTGGCGGGAGCAGCTGACGGTCCGGGGTGTGGTGGTGAGCGCCATCCTGGGGGTGCTCTTCTGCCTCATCACGCACAAGCTCAACCTCACGGTGGGGATCATTCCTTCGCTCAACGTCGCCGCGGGCCTGCTCGCCTACTTCCTCGTGCGGACCTGGACTGCGGCGTTGGACATGTTCGGCGTCGTCTCCAAGCCCTTCACCAAGCAGGAGAACACCGTCATCCAGACCTGCGTCGTCGCCTGCTATGGCCTCGCCACCAGCGGTATGTTTGCATTTTGCTTTGATATGATCCTTGACTCAAAACAGCCTTCATGTGGACTTCTGAAGCTGATTTCTGCTAATTAAGTACGTGTGACCGTTGCTTGTGTGTATATTATTTTTGGGTGGGGACCTAAACGGTGTTTGATTTGGGTGGAACATTGCTAGGTATTGGAGAAAGATTAGGTTTGGTTTTACTGTTTTTTTGTATTAAAGGAAGTTATTACTCCCTCCGTCCCATAATATAAGAGCGTTTTTGACACTAGCAGTTGGTTTTTACAATTGCATTTCTTAGAACAAATGTTTAACTTTGCAGCGTACGTATCTGATTTTGGTGTTTTTTGGGAGTGGCAGAAAAATTGATGACGATGGGCTTCCCCCTTTCACACAGTTCACATTATCAATCAATGTTTCCATTTGTGCAGGAGGATTCGGATCATATATGCTTGCAATGGATCAAAAAACTTACGAGCTTCTTGGGACTGATTATCCTGGTAACAGGGCAGTGGATGTGAAGAATCCCTCGCTAAGTTGGATGATTGGGTTTATGTTTGTAGTTAGCTTCATTGGTATTTTTTGTCTCGTTGCCCTGCGCAAGGTAATCATCCACATCTTAGATGTGTGTGCATCTTTCATCTTTATCTGATCGCATTTACATTTTTGTAATCAAGTGCAGCAACTAGGACAACACTTTGCAAATTCGGTAAACTAAGTTCAGTTTGGTGTTTGCTAGGCGATGGTGATAAACTATAAGCTAACCTATCCCAGAGGAACTGCCACAGCTATGTTCATAAACAGCGTCCACACTTCTACCGGAGATGAGTTAGTAGAGTAAGAAACAGATCATTATTGATCCTTAATTTTGTGCATACTGATAAGTTATCTGTACTTTGGAGGGACAATTATTATTGACTCTCTGATGCTTCTTGTCCGATGATTGGATGAATATATATTTTGTATGATAAAGTGTTGCGCAATTGCACAATTAGTAATTTATAAATAAGTAATCGAAAGAGTGGTTTGTATCGACCTATGGTACTTTTACGGCTTATATCAGGTTATCAAAGTTTACTATGGGTCCCCATGACTTAAGCATTTTAAATACTGTCTCCTAACTGTTAGTGACTATTAAGTTATTTAAAGCTTATTGTCTTCCAGTTGACCTTTTTCCAAGTGTTAAACACTGATGGTTGCCAAAATCCCTTAATAGTCCAATGAAGTTGCACATTAGCCTTCTACCCATTTATCGACCAATTCTCGTTATAGATTGTTTATTGGTCAATTAAGTAGCATGTACATGAGAGAACAAATATATTTTAGGTAATTCAACAATAATAAAGCTTTACTGATCTATTCAGCTCGCAATTAGTTTGTAATGAATGGAGGCTACGAATTCTACAATCTTATCTCTCTACACAATTGCATATACTTTTAGCGCCGGGGGGGGGGGGGTAAATGTGTACATTAAGCACAGAAGGTGAATCTTATGATAGATATAAAATAGCTAGTTTATCAGTTCTTACTTAAAATCATGGATTATCTATTTGTTTACTTGGGATGAACTTTGATGTCTCTGTATCGATTTGATTGTTGACTACATATTCTTGGGTTACTGCATTTCTTGAGTTTTGGTGGTACTAACTTTATTCTCATGCCTGCAGAAAACAAGTTAGTTGTCTTGGAAAGTATTTAAGCATAAGTTTCCTTTGGAACTGCTTTAAATGGTTCTTCAGCGGTGCCGGGGATTCTTGTGGCTTCGACAACTTCCCTTCTCTGGGCCTTGCAGCATTTAAGAACACGTAAGCTAACTGCTATTATGAGCGTGCTAAAATTTCAAAGCATGCATTTTGCAATTAAAAAACAAATCATTTTATTTTTCAAATCGAAACAAAATTTGCCTTCCTTATAATTTATTAGGGATAATTTGGACATGCATGGATTATTATATGAAATTAATATCCTTTAAGCTGGAATATCATATGCATTATATATGAACAGTTTCTACTTTTTATAGGTTTTATTTTGACTTCAATCCAACCTATATTGGATGTGGCCTTATATATCCACATATAGTTAATTGCTCTGCACTTCTTGGAGCCATCATATCTTGGGCCATATATATCGACAAAAGCGGGGGAGTGGTACCCAGCTAACCTTGGAAGCAATGACTTCAAAGGACTCTATGGGTACAAGGTATGGTGGTGAAGGATTCTAATTGTCCATCTCATAATGAATTATTAGTCAATACCATGTTGTCTCTTGATTATGCCTTTTGCCAATTCAATTGTGATGGTTGTTGACCAACATAGCTTTTACCATGTTGTGAACCGATCTAATAAAAAGAACTAGATTATGAATCAATATTTACAAGGCTTGACCAAAATCTCTTGTTTCCCTCCATATTGAATGAACCCAGTAAATTTGCAAGTAGTTCTTGTAAATATGCGAATAATACTGATAACTCTCTTTTATGCATTTATTTTAGTGGGCATAGTGGTCGTAATTCATGAGAAACATGAAATTGAGTTCAAGAATAAATAAATGGCTCATCTATATCATTAAATTTCTAAAGTATTCTTTATTCACTTAATGCTCAGTCTTCGCCAACATTATATTTAGCAAAAACTAAGTTGTCAATGCACCCTTCCAGGTTTTCATATCGGTATCCTTGATACTTGGTGATGGTACTTTTAACCTCATCAAAATAATTTATGCTACTATCAAGGAAATAATGAATGCACGCTCAAAGCAAGGAAGACTTCCCCTTGTTCGGGTTCATGATGGTAATGCCATTTTCTTATTGTACCTAGTTGACCTGCCATCATATCATACATCATGGCTCTCATCTTGTTTCCCTTTTATAATTGCAAATGATAAAAATTCCAAATTATCAGTCAAGGAAAAGCTTCTAAATGAGGTGTTTCTAAAAGACAGTATCCCTCCCTGGTTGGCAGGATCTGGTTATGTGGGCCTTGCAACAATTTCAACTGCAATAGTGCCAATGATATTCCCACAACTCAAGTGGTACCTTGTCCTCTTTGCCTATGTTGTTGCTCTTCTACTTGCCTTCTGCAACTCATACGGAAATGGACTAACAGATTGGAACCTTGCATCCACATATGGAAAGATTGGCCTTTTCATTTTTGCCTCATGGGTTGGCCAACATGGTGGTGTGATCGCCGGCTTAGCAGCTTGTGGTGTTATGATGTCCATCGTATCCACAGTTGGTGATCTCATGCATGACTTCAAGACTGGGTACCTGACCCTCTCATCACCAAGGTCCATGTTTGTGTCACAGTTGATTGGCACTGCCCTTGGTTGTGTCATTGCTCCTCTAACCTTTTGGCTTTACTGGACATCCTTCGATATTGGCAATCCTGATGGTATGTTCAAAGCTCCATATGCCATCATCTTCCGTGAGATGTCAATCATGGGTGTCGAAGGATTCTCAGTGTTGCCGCGACATTGCCTTGCAATATGCTCTTTCTTATTCTTTGGAGCCATAGCAATCAAGCTCATCCGGGATGTCACCCCAAATGGTCTATCCAAATTCATCCCGCTCCTGATGGCCATGGCCGTTTCATTTTACATTGGGGCATACTTCGCGATTGACATGTTTATCGGGACTGTCATCTTGTTTGTATGGGAGATGGTGAACCGTAAGGAGTCAGAGGAGTTTGCGGGTGCGGTTGCTTCTGGTTTGATTTGCGGTGATGGTATCTGGAGTGTTCCGTCTGCAATATTGTCCATCATGAGGATTGACCCACCGATGTGCATGTACTTCAAGCCATCTTTTACCTATGGCTGAAAGCAGAGGAACTTTTGTAGTTTTATGTGATAGTACCACAACACACTCGTGTAAATTAGACCATGGCAATACAACAATAGCTGTGTTCATTTTGTTTGTGTCTTCTTCGGCATTCTTTGTTAGAGTATCATGGCATATCCGAGTATTATTGAAACTAGATAATACCCCTTGCATTGTTGTGGAAACCTTGTTAAAAGAAATGCATAATATATGCTAAAAATAACTAACCGATGTAAAGGAAAATGTAAGACGGTATAAATGATGCAAAAGAAACTCGCCGGCAAGTTTCAATCAAAGTGCGTTCATAGAAAGTGTATGTACGTGTATGTGAGCATATGCCATTGTGTTGTCTTAAGAAAAGCAAGTTGCAATCAGCAATGGCTGCGCATCTTCCACTACGAGCACCAGGGGCCGGCATTCTTCCCCATCTGGGAACCAACACGCCAAAGAGTGTAACTACACCGACTCAGAGCCTCGTGCCCCTCATGCCAATACATGGTCGACTTGGGTCGAACCGTAATGCATGGAACACCCTCCAGGCAATACGGTGTGACAACATAGAGCTTCAGTCCGGACCACGACACGTAGAACACCATCGAGGCAAGGCATTGTGCTCGTCGTCGTGGCACGGGAAGAGATGATTGTGACGTTGGCCACAGTAACCTTTGCGACGATCACCGTGACGATGATGACGACGACTAACACATCATCAACCATTTCCACCGCACGACTCCCCCGAAAATGGTGTGCATGCGCCCAAAAGCATTTGACTCCCACATCCGCAACGTTGTCTTTCCACCAGGATTTCGAGTCACCTACATCAAGTACACGGGCGAGACGCAGCCAGGCATCAGGTTGTCCAACTACCAAACTGCGTGTAGGATCAAGACCAATGGAGGCAACTACTACACCGTTCATGGCCGACTACAATAATGCAAAATACTCCCTCTGTAAAGTACTTCTTAGATCACTGCTACTTTACTGATCTAAAAAGTCTTATGTTACTTTCAGAATCTAGTTTTTACTATGTATTTAACACTAATTATTAATAAGTTGATGTTATTTTGGGACTATTAGTTGATATTATTGGTGATGTTTTGGTCAAATTATAGTAGTATATAATGTAATTTTTGAACAGTGGCATCCTAGTGTTGAGATCCCGACCCGGTGGATGGCCTCAACAATCCCCTCATATTCATGGATTGCTTCATCTTCATCTGGTCTTATTCTCGTCAATTTCTCACCATGCATCTACCGTAATTATCTGAATCACGTGTCTTCTCTGCTTTTTCCCGCTTAATTTGGTGTGCCTTTTAGACACACACTACCAGTAACATAATTTTTAAAATGTTGACTCATAATTTGTTATGGGGACTACAGATATACGTATAACTAAGAAAAAATCTCCTCATCTTCTTGTCACTAATCTTTTGATGAAGCCAACGTTCCTAAATATAAGTATTTCTTAGATTTCGATGCGGACTACATATAGATGTATATACAGACATACTTTAGAGTGTAAGATTCACTCATTTTGCTCCATGTGTAGTCCGTAGTGAATGAAATCTATAAAAAGACTTAAATTTAGGAACAGAGTGAGTACTCTTGAATAAAGTATGAAAGGTCAGTATTGTATACCATCGACGTGCTATGGCCAGACAGGGATTGGAGTGCAGATTTTCTCAGATGCAACCTTGAAAAATAAAGCAGCTGCTGCAACTATCTGTCTGAGTTTGATAATAAATTTTCAGCACAGCCAAGTTTCAGCATCAGCACTCCCTCTGTAAAGTACTATAAGAGCGTTTAGATCACGAAAGCAGTGATACAATGGTATATCACTACGGAGTAGTTAGTGACAGAAAAAAAATCCACTTTGCAACACAAAAACCATTATCAAATATGCTACAGGCAGCAGATATAAAACGACTCCAAATATCACTCAAATATAAAATAGCAACTTTATCTGACGAAGTTTCACCAACACAACCGAACGATACTATGACCACAGTAATAAGCAGTTCGAACACTGCTCGACACAAATAACCAAAGCTTAACAAGTTCGCAAATCCGCTAACACGACTATCACCACCACCATATACCGCCACCACCACCATACATGTGGTAAAGAACCACCAACAACGCCACCGCCCGACACCATCTCATTTCTTCTTGGCCGCAGCCTTGGTCACCTTTGCGCCGGTCGGATCCTTCTTCTCCACGCTCTTGATCACGCCAACGGCGACCGTCTGCCTCATGTCACGGACAGCAAAGCGACCCAGGGGAGGGTACTGGGCGAAGGTCTCCACCACCATGGGCTTGGTGGGGATCATCTTGACGAACCCGGCATCACCGTTCTTGAGGAACTTGGGCGCCGCCTCAATCTCCTTGCCAGACCGCCGGTCGATCTTGGTCTGGATCTCAGCGAACTTGACAGCGATGTGGGACGTGTGGCAGTCCAGCACCGGGGCGTAGCCGTTGCTGATCTGGCCGGGGTGGTTCATGATGATGACCTGGGCGGTGAAGTTGGCAGCCTCCTTGGCGGGGTCGTCCTTGGAGTTAGAGGCCACGTACCCACGCTTGAGATCCTTGACAGCCACATTCTTGACGTTGAAGCCGACATTATCACCAGGAAGCGCCTCCAGGAGAGACTCATGGTGCATCTCCACAGACTTCACCTCAGTGGTCAGGCCAGTAGGACCAAAGGTGACAACCATGCCTGGCTTGATGACTCCAGTCTCAACACGCCCCACTGGCACAGTTCCAATGCCGCCAATCTTGTACACGTCCTGAAGGGGAAGACGCAGGGGCTTGTCGGAGGGCCTCTTGGGCTCATTGATCTGGTCAAGCGCCTCAAGCAGGGTTGGGCCCTTGTACCAGTCAAGGTTGGAGGACCTCTCGATCATGTTGTCACCCTCAAACCCAGAGATGGGGACAAAGGGAACCTTGTCAGGGTTGTAACCGACCTTCTTCAGGTATGAAGAGACTTCCTTGACAATTTCATCGTAACGGGCCTTCGAGTACTTGGGAGTGGTGGCATCCATCTGGAACAGATCATAAGAGCAATCCGATCAGATAAACAGAATAATTAAAAGGTAACGATGCAAACAAACACAAAAATGAGAAACATCATAAATGTGTAGTCATGTACTGGAATAAGAGATAACAAGCAGACAAACAGTTGCATCAATCATGATATATAATAAAGTCAGTAACATAGATGATGGAAGTTATTAATCACCTAATATTAGCAAAATGACCAGAGTTAATCAATTAGAGGCAATTAAGTGCTACTAATGAACCTGGACATTTAATAGGTAATTCTGACCCTAGAGAGATAAAGCATATAGCAAAATAGTACTTCCTCTGTAAACTAATATAAGAGCGTTTAGATCATTACTTTAGTATTCTAAACGCACTTAGATTAGTTTACGGAGGGAATACATTTGTAATTTAAGGAAAAACAAAATGAACAAACATTTATCACAAAACAAATAGAATTAGACAGATGTAAATCATTTAAGAGTATGTTTCTGTACTAATGAACATTGACATTGACTAGTGAACAAATAATATGGTCACTCATAAAAATCACCATTGGAAGTTGAATAGCAAGTATACCTTGTTGCAGCAGCAGATCATCTGCTTCACACCAAGAGTGAAAGCAAGGAGAGCGTGCTCACGGGTCTGGCCATCCTTGGAGATACCAGCCTCAAAACCACCAGTGGTGGAGTCAATGATAAGCACAGCACAATCAGCCTGGGAGGTACCAGTGATCATGTTCTTGATGAAATCACGGTGACCAGGAGCATCAATGACAGTGCACGAGTACTTGGTGGTCTCGAACTTCCACAGAGCAATATCAATGGTGATACCTCTCTCACGCTCAGCCTTGAGCTTGTCAAGCACCCAGGCGTACTTGAAAGACCTCTTGTTCATCTCAGCGGCTTCCTTCTCGAACCTCTCGATCACACGCTTGTCAATGCCTCCAAGCTTGTAGATGAGGTGGCCAGTCGTGGTTGACTTGCCAGAGTCGACATGGCCAATGACCACAATGCTGATGTGGATCTTCTCCTTGCCCATGGCTGCTGGAGCTACGAACTACCTGCATGGACCAAATTAGGGGTGGTTAAACGAGTTCAAATAATTCAATGCTACAGTTTAAACTTCAAATAGCAAATGATTGAACGATATAGTAATAATTTGGAGCAATAACAAATCTAAACCATAAAAACAATGGCCTATCAGACAACAGTTGACAGGCAAGCAAGGCTAGCCATGAAACTGCAATTTCATAGACTTCAAACTAAACACTGGAAAAGTAACTGAAATTATTCATATTCATCAGATAAGGCATGCAAAACTAAATCTGACTAACAGGTAAAAATAGACCTACATCCAAACGATTCTTAACAGAAGATTTCAATAAACCTACAGACCAGAATGCCTTGTCAAGTGGCCAAGCATGATCTAATCCGAAAGGGCGAGATTAGCATGCAAGGCACTTACTTAACAAGGCAATTCAGGGTCAGGACAAATTGGAGATGCAGGGGGGTCGTCTGCAGAAGCACCCAATAGGAATCGAACCTATATGAGAAGGCCCCGCAAGGAGGCCTTGTGTCTTTACCATTAGACGATGGGCACTTTTTGCATCTCCAATTTGCTGATAATAGCATGTTATGCATCTCTAACCTAGATGATTAACTTGCAGATTACAGTGATAATTCGGTAAGGATTCGCAAAACTAGTTTAGCCCAACAGACATACAGAAACCAAACCAAGCAGGGCGCAAAGGCGAATCGAATCGAGCAGATCTAGGTACTCGAGTTCAGGCGACATGCTTAAATACGAGACCGAGCAGATCGATCCATCTATCGCAGCGCGCGGTCGAGCCAGAGATGCGACCGCATACGGGCGAGAGAAATAATCGAGTTCATCATGCAACAGCAAGGACAAGCAAAACTAGTCCAGAACCAATACAAGCAGTTCATGCGACAGTCTCG